GTGGGACCGGGGAGGGGGCTGTCCCCCCAACCCACCCCCGCCCAGGGCTGTGAAGGCAAACGGGGGTTTGCAGCCACCGGGGCACCAGCGGGCGTCGGGGGGCGAGGGGGGGGTGTGCCGAATGCAGCACCGTCCGAGCCTCGGGCGATAAAGCCGTCCTCGGGGATCTGCCCGCCGACAGCACCCACGGCTGCTTCCCGACCTGAGCCGAAAGCCGCTCGCTCCCCCCACCAGCCACCGTCAGGTCCTGCTTTAACACAGCTTTCGGCTGCAGGTCTCGAGCCCTTCCGCAGGTGTAGGGTACGGAGGGTGCAGCAGCAGCCCCAGGAAGCCCTGGCTGTTGGCGGTGCTAAATTTTTAGTACTGAAGTGGCACTGCTGAAATGGGGTCAGCAAACGTTAGAGAACAAGCAAAACAAAACTAACAACCCACCAAGCCCGAAGACGCATCAGCCTGGAGCAGATGCACACAGAGAGCAGAGGTTGCTCCCGGGAAAGCTGGGAAAAACCCAGCTGCTCCCGGTTTCAAGGCCTGAGACCAGAATCTGTAGAGGAACCAAGAGCGTTCAGGTGGTCTCTCCCTCAGGATCAGCTCTGGGCAGCAGAACAGATGGATTACCTTCATCGTAAGGGATGGGGACAATGATCTAGAAAAAGCCCTTCCTGACAGAAGCAGAGTGTGGCATGCAGGAGAGAATTTGGAGGGGTTGCTTTTGTGCATCTTGTACCATCAGATGCTGGCTGGGGAGCAGCAGGGAGCAGAGCTGCCTGCGAGGGGCTGCAGATACGAAGGCTCTCTGAATGGCAGGAACAGCAGGGCATTACCTGGCTGTACACAGGATTCACTGAAGCATTTGCACAGCAAGGAGTAAGGAACACATGTTGACAGTTTTGTTAAGGTAACAAAATAGAAAAAAAACTATTAACAAAACCCTCTCTGCCAGCCGTGGGTAGTAACGAAAGTAGCAAACTGGCAGTGGAGAAATACAGCAATACCCTTACATTGATTTGGTCCACTTAAACATAGTATTTATTTATAATAAAGGTGTTATGAGCATTTTCTTTCAGTCCAGAAAGAGTTATTATGTACCGAGTGCTTTACATCGTGTTATGAACTAACCCATTGATAAATTAGTGCTACATTTTATTTCCAAAAAGGCATCTTTGGCAGGGATTCAACGTTGACTCACAACAATTGCTCATAGTGCTGACTTGCCATTGTTCAATATTTAGAGCTGCTCAGTCCACCTGGCATTCTGCCGTGTGGGTAAAAGTTACATTGCGATTGCAACTTTTATCTCACACAGAGATAAGGGGCAGCATTTCCAAAACAGCCCCTAATTTTAGGAGCTCAAACTGAGACAAGATGGTCCCGAATTTCTCGCGTCAGGAGTGTTCACAGCCAGATCAAAACATCTCACACTCAACATGCAAAATGAAGAGACACCATCAGGATCTTCTGTGACAAAAGCTATAAGGCAATTGTTAACTACTCTAATAATGTCTATCCTAAATGACATGTAGCCTGAGAGCAAGGAAACATCCAGTACAAGAGCAGAGGGGCAGAAATCCCTGTCCCCCAGTCCTCTCAATCCACCAGGTTATCCTGCTTTCTACCCCTTTCATCACTCTTGGGCATAGCCTTAGCCCTGCCTACACTCTGCCTCAGGTGCAGCTCTCTGTACAAGAAACACTATGTTACCTCCTTTGTCTCCAGTCCAATGGTCCACTGAGCAGCTCTCATCACAGAGACGAAATCTAAAGCCGGGATGCCAGCTAGGGAAAAGCTACACGAAGTCTCTCGATACATCTGATAAATGGCAGAGAAAGTGTGACACAAAAAATCTTTAGTTTAAAGGCAGAAGTTGTAGAAAATTGGGGTTTGTTCTTTCCATTCGTGGCAAACACGCCTTCAACTCCCATCTCCAATCAGTCTGTGGGATTGGTGGGACAAGCCTGCAGTCAGGAGAGCAAAGGATCCTCTTCTAATATTTAGGTCATTTGTGAAAGATACTGAGAGAAATAAGCATGAGGCTCCTGATGTTCATCACAGCTCCTGACAGAACCAGTCTATTGATTTTTGCAGAGGCGAACAGACTGAAAGACAGCATCACACAATGCCAAGCCAGCAGCAGAGCACCAGGCAGCAGTGACAGTGGCTCTGCCCTTTCTATGCAAGTCGGGTGCTGGCCTGTCTACTGAATCAATCTGTACCTTCTCCGGAGTACAACAACTTATCTCCTGTTTTAAGTGCAAAGTAGTATTGATCAAATATGCAAGACTGACATCAGAGCGTATGTGTTGGGGGAGTCCCCTATTCACATTTCAGAAGCAGCCTGCTTGGACCAGTCTGGCTATTCTCCATCAGGAAGCCCCACCTGACAGCCCACTGCCCTCCCTTGCTGCTGGTCCTGCAACTCATGCCCAGGCACAGCTTAAACAACGTCACCCTGTAAAATATGAACTGGCCCCCAAAAGCACCCGCAGAGCAAGAACTGCTCCCCATCAGGTCAGGAATCCTGCAGAATGCTGTTAATGCTTTTTAAAAAAATGCTTTTTTAAAATAAGTTTTTCTTTTTTTAATGGAAATATGCATAAGTGCCTCAAACAATCTACCAGTTTGCAGTACTTGTGAATACAACTGAAATACTCGTACTCATTTTACTGTACTACAAAAAAAATTTGCTGGACTGGCAAGGAAGGCAAGTTATTCTCAGCATAACAATGAACCCAAAACAGGTAATTTAAAAATGTATAGGAAAACATCCAAATGATTATAAAGTGGGTCAACATTAAAGTCTAAAACTTTAAGCATCTTTACTTATTTAACATTTCAAAATTTAGTAGCAGTCAGAGCCACGTTGTTCTGAGGCATCTCCTGATTTCAATTACATGTCTGGATAAATGGCTTTGCAAGCATTAAGAAAAACCACCCTAGTCATCATATGCCCAGTTGCAGACTAAAAGAATTTTTCAATAAGAAATCTCCCTCCAGCTACAGGCCCTTCAGTCTGAGGCTTAGAGGATAAACACTGACAATGAACTTAACGTTTCTCTCTAATGCAGCTTAAAAAATGTGTCTCTTGCCTTGCGGTGGAGAAGTGACACGCTGCTTATAAAACATCTTGCTCAAATCTACTGTCCCTTCTATTATTAAGCAAGCAGGTTTCAGTTTAAAACTGCCACCTTACTGACTTCATTAAAGCCACCTGGTATTTTATTACTCTTCAGTAACAAAGTTTCTATCTCTTGCATGTAATTAAGTTGAATCCCAGGAACAATTTACTTGACTGATTTTTCATTAAGCATAGCAGCACAATAGCACTTCTCGAGTAATGGTTTGGTGGAAACTTTATAAACCTTTCTTAGAGAAACTGTCTGCTACCTTGCCACTTTTCACTTTTCAAAAAAGTACCACTTTATGTAGGAAAAAAAAATAGCCAAGAGAGAGCCCAAGATAACTATCTTAATATATTCTGAGCCAACTAAAATGTGTTTGTCATTTACTGAGCTGCATCTATTTCAGAGGTCTGCCTGGGGTATTAATAGTCCCTCACTATATCAGGCTGGAAGAAAATGTGAATTTTAGAGTCCTTAAATCATTCTGGTTTTCCACTGCAGTTCCAATAACAGCTTGTACTAGGTAGCGTGCTGTAAAAATGAACAGAACTCAGGAATGTGCTGCAACTACACTTTTATTTTCCCCTCCTATGCCATACTGATCAGCTGGGGTAGAAAGCAAGAGACAGGTTGGGCTAAAAAAAAAAGGTTAAAAAAATCATAATCACTCTTAAAGAAACAGACCACAAATGCAGAGGATGCAGTGATAGTTTTTGCTATTCCTTGTATAATCTACTTCTAATTACCCTACATAATTGCATGAGGCAAAGCAATTACCTGTAGCCAAAGGTAGAGAACCAATCCAGTAGTTTCCATGCAAAGTTACAGCATTCACCTGCAGCTGACCTGAGCTGAATTTCTTGTCACTCTTGGGTGCGCATGCCACACCAGCTGGACCAACATGTCAGTCCCTACTACAGCTATCATGGATAGAGTCTTTTGTTCCTTCTCTTCTTTCCTTTGAAACGAAACTGATGGTTCAGCAGCAGCAGGAAGCCCTGGGCCACCTAGAAGGGTAAACGGAAATCTATTACCATTATGTACTTCAAAAATAACAAGTGAGTAATTTTCTTCTAATAGTAAGAATTATCCTGGATTAGTCTCCCTCCTGGAAACTAGTGAGCTCCACGTATCTCAGTTATCTCTCTTTTATAAATTCTAGTCTATAAAAGGCTAACAGTATCCTTAGCATCCTTCAGTCAGTATTTAAAAAAAAAAAAAAAGTATCCACATTTCAAAAAGTATGTACAGACCATGTACATTCATAGTGCATGTACAATGGATTTGACCTGAGCTACTATGTTCAGTTAACCACTGGTGGCAGGACTGTTTTAAGCCAGAGCCAGGAAGCTTGTTACCATTTGGTTGCCTGCTGTGGCACCAAAACCCCCTAACAGGTATGTGTGAAAAAGTAGGGAGGGATGGTGAGAAAGGGAAGGAAAAAGGTGGCTTAGAGACAGCACCCTAAATACCCAATCTGTATTTTTATGCCATAGGATAAGCAGGAAGCATATCAGAGACAACATAATTACCAGAGCTGTTGTACAGTTTATACTTTTTATGATTTAGAATGAGTTTTTCTACAGGGGTATCTTCAATTTAACTGGAAACATGTTAGGGGTTCCACAAATTAAAATACTTTGGAAAACTTTGCAGAGTATTTTGTATCACTTCCGGAAAGGCTGTGCCAGCAGGGAGAGCATTTGAGTTGGTGGGAAAGCACTAGTGAAAAGAATCGGATACAAGCCTAAAAGCCAAGAAATCCCAGTAAGTGGCAAGGGCCCTATTCCTCACCTTGACATATGAATGCAAGTGTTAAAATACAGATTAGGAGCAAAAGCAGGAGAAAGGGAATGTAGGGGAGATGCTGGCTTGAGAAGATAAAAGGCAAGGCATGGGACTAGATTTAAGTAGTTGTGGGAGAAGGCAGGTGGGAGGTCTCAGCCCCACAGAGTTCACAGCTGCATCCTTCCCCAGTTCCCAAAGAGTCCCAAAGAAGGACTCCCGAGTACAAGAGAAGATGTAATCTGAGCTTTTGCTTTCTCTTTCCCTTCCATCACCTCATTTCCAGTTCTGTATTCAAGAACTGGACTTTTTGGTCTACTTGCACCAACCTTGTAATACTCTTCTTGTCTGATGTTGAAAGAGGCCAACTAATGTGGAAAAGCCCAGGGCATCTGTCTTCTCTGGAAGCAACAAACTGAACCAAAGCCAGGGACCTCCAAACCACAAGAGTAGGAAGGGATCTTGGGAGGCTGACTGATACCCCCCTCACCATAAGGACTAATATCATGAAGTCATTAGGCCCAGCAAAAACTATCTTCTGACAGGTGCAGGCAAGCGTTCCCTTGTCATGAGCTCTGCCAAAGCAGTGTTTGAACCAACAGACTCATCACATGAAGTTATGTAGTGCAGACGCAGCATAGTATCCGTCTTAGATGTGGGGAGTGAAGCACCATTGACTCCAGTTTCTATGGTGTCAGGTGCCTGGCTCCAAGAAAACAAGCCTGCAACTACAGTTCTGAGCACAATGCGTACTTTAGTCAGCTACAGAAAAGCTGGGTAGTTTCAAGCGGTGCGTATTAGCTCACACCAGCAGCCCCCAGTTTTCACCAGCTCATGCCACCCATCATGCAAGTAACACACTGTGAGCAAAGGCCACTCCACCTTTTTGTTACCTCTCAGTTTTCCTCCTCTTCAGGGCTTGCATGTTCAGTGGGCATGTTCAGCCTGAATAAAATGCTTTCTGGCAAGAGCAGAACACACTGAAGATAAAGGAGTGTGACACTAAATGCCAGCACCAGTTCTCCAGCAGGTTTTATGCAGGGAAGAAGGAAAATGTCATCTCTTTCCAGGAGTTTGACTGTTGAAGAACTGGTTTTCAAAACTCAAAGATAATTGCTGTGTTGTTTTGTGATAGCCACATCCTCTAGATGAGTCTGCTGTCTCTTTAACTAGCAGATCTTGACAAACATCTCAGGGTTTTGTTACATGCTTAGAAAACTACCATTACCTTGAACCCAAGAGGGATGAAGTATCACAGGACACCGTAATAATACTAATAATCCTTAGGAAATGGAGACTTCAATATTAACTGGCTGCAGGACTGAGCAAGAAAGAATCTCTTCTTCCCCCCCTTTTGCCTCTTCTTTGTTGAAATTTTTGCCTGGTGCCCAGTTGTTGGGCAAAATATTTGCACAGCAGGCACCCTCCTTCTTGCCCTGGTTCCTTGGATTCAGTACTTCTTTTTGGTGCCTTGCCTTTGAATGCAGTACCGAAAACACACACCAAAATGAGGAGGAAAAAACAAGAGCAAAGCCATGGCCAGCATATTAGAAAGACATGCAGACAAAAATGTGTCACTGAGAACCCAAGCCAAATAACTGTTTGGACATCCTCAGTTTTGCCTTCTTTTTGGGAGTGTGACTCAGTAAGCAAACCTTTTGTTCAGACACCTTGTTTCTCACACCCAAACCTACTGCAACTTGGGTTGGGTCACACTGAAAGAGTCTGCCACCCCCCCAGCAACACACGGCATCCTATACATACCTGTAACTTCTAATTAATACCTAACAAAATCTCGGTATTGCATGGATGACATAGAGTTTTCAGCACAAGAGACAGAACTGCTTTTATTTATAGCATCAGCACA